GGGAAAGAGCCCAGCACAGCACCAGTGCTTCCTAGGTGCCTGCAAGTGTCCATAAGCCCTCCTTACATCTCACACCGCTGAAGGGTGTTCAAGAACCATCTCCTGTTGCCCCCTGGAACCATGCAAGCCATCATCTGCCTTTAGGCACGCAAGTTCCACTGCCATCCCACCTGGGAGTTTAGCAGAAGGAGCTTAAGTTCTTCCTAGAGACAGAGAATCACAGGGCCACACCAGTGTGGAAGGTCAGGGGCGTGGAGAGAGTAGAAAGTCATGGCAAGACCCCACTCACCAAGCCAGGCCCCTCCTGCCCTTCATCCCAGCCACCTTCCCTGAACGTCAGATCCAGTTTTGTGAACTGGGCTGACCTAGATGGAGGAGGAATGAAAACAGAAGTGTTAACGTGTGGGGCAAGAGGATGAGAAGGCTGTGAGATGGGCCTCTGTGGCAGAGCAGCGGCCCTACAGATGGTCACATCCCAATCCCTGGACCGGGGAACATGTGGCCTTACATGGCAAAGGGACTCTATAGGTGGGACTGAGGTGAAGGACCTCCTGCATTGTCTGGGTAGGCGCAGTCTAATCACACAGGTCCTTAAAAGTGGACACTCCTTCCTGGCTAGGTTAGAGAGATGCGACAACAGAAGGTCAGAGAGATGCGATGTTGCTGCCCTTGAAGATGGATGAAGCGGGCCATGAGCCAAGGAATGGGGAAGACTCTGGAAGCTGGAAACGCAAGGCAAGAGAATCTGCTAGAGCCTCCAGAACACAGCTCTGCTGAGATCTTAGATTTTAGACCAGGGACACTACATCAGACTTCTGACCTCATAAATCTAACATATTACATTTGTGTTTTAAGCCATGAAATGTATTACAACAGCAACAGAAAACTAACATGGCCTCCAAAGACAGCAGAGCACTGATAATGCCCTTCCCCTGTACCTCAATTCCCGCCCTACCACCCCTTATCCCCTCTTCCCCCGAGTTCGTATCAATCACCTCTGATACCCACATAAGCACAGACAACATGACTGGACTTCTCTGAAAGCAAAACCTCATGCTGGTTCGTTCGAATGGTGGTTTCTAGAGTGATGGGTAGAGTTCCAAGGTAGGAGCCAGCCACATTCAGGAGTTGTGAGGGGGAGGCCACGGGGCCACAGGCATGCCCTGCCTCTGCCACAAACCCGAGCAGGGGGGATGCTATCCCACTGATGACTGGGGGGATGAGCAGGCCTCTCCTCCAGGCAGGAGACCAGGTCTTAGGATGAGACCACCCCAGGCCTTGGGATCCTGAGTTCTAGTCCAAACCCATGAGCTCTGGGATCCCCAGCACATCCCTTCACTCCATTGGTCGGTTTCCTCGCTCATAAAACAGGGGTAACCATCCTGCCTTGCCTTTCTCCCTGACAGCTCTGAGGGTCAAGTGAGAAAATGCAGGTGAACTTATCGACGACCATTTTTCCATCTGACTGGGAGGGAGAGCAGTGGGGTCAATAGACCGATTTCTACCTTGGGCCCCACTGGGAACCAATTCACTGTGCGTCTCAGATACCCCACCTCTGAGCCTCAGCCTTCTCATCTGTGAATCGAGGGGAATGTGTCATAGGAGCCCTGAGGCCTCTTCCAGGTCTGCGGTAGAGTATTCGGGCTTCTGCCTGACCCCTATCACCTCCTCCTGGAACTTTCAGGAACTACACTGACCTGCTCCTCTGGACCCTTTCCCAGGATTTGAACCAACCCACCACCAGCAACTTCTTCACCAGCCTCACACCAGCCCCCGCCCCCCAGGCTGAGGATGTCAGCGCCTGATTGGGGCTAAACAAGTCGCAGAACAGACCTGAGAAGCAGCTTGGCTCCTGATTCAATACTTGGCAAAAGAGCATGGGCTCCCCGCACCGTGGTGGGCGCCGGCCCTGCTCTTCGTGTCCCCATACCAGGTCCTGGCCAGGCCCTCAGCGGGCGCGGGCGCTAACTCCCTCTCGCCCGGGAGCCCTCCCCTCCTCTCCCAGGACACACGGACTCTGCCCTCCCAACTCACAGAACCGCTCTCCACATGAGGAAAGAGGACAGGCGGGGGGTCAAGGGGCTGAGCCCCACGAAGGAAGAGAAAGAAAACCTTTCAACTATTAAATCTGTTTAGTAAAGACAATTTTGCTCATACAAAACAACAAGAGTTTACAACAATCTGAGTGCTGGACACGCCATCAGAGACGGGAGGCGCCGCGGGCACTCGGAGCCCTTCCCTCACACCCAGAGGAGACCCTGGGTGCGCCCCCCAACCCTGCCCCTGAGGGAGATGAAAGCTGAAGCATTACTGTCACCCCTGCCCCAAGGGACCATGGCACAGAGGACCTCTCCCCACACTGCTGCAAATTAATACTGGGGAGGGAGGGCCCTCCCCCCCTCCCCCCC